TACAGTCTTGTAAATTATTTGAGTAAATGTATTTAAATACTTTTAAAATACTTTTTGAATTAAGTATTTGGAATTTATTGAATGTAACATTACAATTTTTAATTAGTAAATACAAAAATAATTTTGTCAAAATGACTACTAAAAAGTAAAATGAAAAAAGTAGGTATTTTAAAAGTTAATATTTAAATACATTTTTATGTTTTGTCTTTCAGTAAGTACAAATTATGATGTCCATGATTATAATTATATATAAATATAAATATCTAATGTACCTATATATTAATTTGTATACCTATATATTAAAAAAAAAAATTTAATTATGTTTTTAAATCTTATCATTATTGTCTTCATTTAGATAATGTTCAATATTGTGATTTACAACCAGTAGAAAATCCTGAAGCAGATGTTCAAAATAATGGAGTCTTATTCAATTTAAAATTTAAATACAGGTAAACTAATCTAAAATCCTGAAATGATCTATGTATAACAAATTATAATAATAATATTAAATTTAAGCTTAACTGTAATTTTAAATTTCTTCAGTCTTGTAAATTATTTGAGTAAATGTTTTTAAATACTTTTGAAATACTTTTTGAATTAAGTATTTGGAATTTATTGAATGTAACATTACAATTTTTAATTAGTTAACATAAGAATAATTTTGTCAAAATGACTACTAAAAAGTAAAATGAAAAAAGTATTTTAAAAGTTAATATTTAAATACATTTTTATGTTTTGTCTTTCAGTAAGTACAAATTATGATGTCCATGATTATAATTATATATAAATATAAATATCTAATGTACCTATATATTAAAAAAAAAAAACTTTAATTATGTTTTTTAAATCTTATCATTATTGTCTTCATTTAGATAATGTTCAATATTGTGATTTACAACCAGTAGAAAATCCTGAAGCTGATATTGATGATGCACTATTAAATGATGACCAAATATGTAATTTTGAACTTGAAAGCCTATCTACTCGTTCAAACCAAAATGTTGTAAATAATTTAGATCAAAATTATGAATTTCCATTCAAATTAAATACAGATAAACTTATATAATATCATGATCTATTTAATATTTTGTTCACTTATATTGTCAATAAAATTGTTATTATATTTTAAGATGACAGCAGTATATCTATTTCTCCTGTGGATGATTCAGATTACGTCCCTTTCAATAATGGTCATATATCTGTCATTGAATATGAAAATCTATCCACCTGTTCAAACCAGAATATTGAAAATAATTTTTCTGATGGTCTTTCTCTATTATTGGAAAGTTATGAAAATATATCAAGTGATTCTAATTCTGATAATGAAGTTTGTTCTACACAAAAGAAACGATTCAAAAATGGTAAAAGAACTTATATGGATAAAAGTAAGAAATTAGGACTAGACTATGAGAATAGAAATGGAAAGAACATTTCTAAAAAACTGTTTTCCTGTTTAAACGGCATGTGTTGTAAACAAAAATGTAATTTATTAAGTTCTGAAGAAACTCAAAAACAAATATTTAAGGATTTTTATTTATTGGGTAATTCAGTTGCTCAAGACCAAGTTATCAAGGATGGCATACAAATTATGGATAAAAAAAGATCAACAACAATCTTTCGTAGAGAAGAACTTGAAAAAACACACAATAGATAAAAGACTGTTAAATACTATTTAAATCTTGAAGGTAGTCAACAAGAAATCTGTAAAAAAATGTTTCAAAATACATATGGTATTAGTAGAAGTAAAGTTGATTTAATGATATTTAAAAAAAGGTATTCGGCTACTGGAATTTCATCTACAATAGGCAAAGGGGCTCACAAACCTCTTAATGTTAACATAGAAATTAGAACAAGAATGTTAAATCATATAAAAAGTTTCCCCCTTCAAGAAAGCCACTATGCCAGAAAAAGAACAAGTCGTCTATATCTTTCTTCTTCATTAAACATTAATAAAATGTACGATTTGTATAAAAAGAAGACAAATTATTATTGACTACTACTTCATCTTTAAAAGTGATTGTTTTTGACTAGCAACAATGTTTGCCTACTCCTGACTTAAAAACCAATATTGTTTTTAAAAACGTCAGCTCTGGACATATAATGAAACCATTAGAGACTTAGGTAAAAATGAATTTTACTGTTATATGTGGCATGAAGCCATAGGAAGAAGAGGATCAATTGAAGTAGCATCTATTTTATACAAATTTATTCAAGGCAATAATTGATAACAATATCACTCACCTTATTACTTATTCGGACACTTGTTCCGGTCAAAATCATAATATAAACGTCGCACTAATGTTAATGTTTGCTCTACAAAATCATACTTCTCTTCAAATTGTAGATCAGAAATTTTTGGTACCTGGACACACACATCTAGAATGTCATAGTGATCATTCTAGAATCGAACGTTGTAAAAAACAATCAGTCAACAATATCAATAACAAATGATGGGTATAATTTTGTTAGAAATGTACGAGAAAAAATGCCCTTGAAGGTAATAGAAATGGAACAAATAGATTTCAAATCAGATTCCATTATTAGATCCAATATACCACCAATTTTACAAGGATTTGAAAACCAACAATAGAGCTGCTATGATTCAACAATCAGATGAAGAGTCATCATCTGAAGTTTCAGTAAGTTATAATTTTTTTTTATAGAATAAACTTAATTTACTGTAAATATATTAATATTTAAAATGTATTGTAAATGTAGGTAGGTACTATGCATGATATTATAATACAGACATTCATGTTATAAAATAAATTACTATAATATTATATAGTGAAATTTTTTATAATTAAAGAAAATTGACAATTTATGATAATGTGAACATTCACAGTCTTTATCTTCTGGAAATACTAGGTAGGTACTTTATATAAAGTGTTTTGTTAAAATTAATAAATTGATTTACCCTGTCACAAATCATTCACAATTAAATATGTTTTTAATTTAAACAAACAAAATAGTTTTATTATTTAAATCAAGGTGACAATTAGACTTTTAGTAGCTCAAGCAAAAGAATTTTTTTATAAAATGTTCTCCTGAAAAGTTACGATTTCGCACATATTAGCTTCCGCCTCTTCAGTGCAGAATTGTTACATATACGTTTGGAAAATTGTGAACTATTAAAATTGAAATTGCCTATGTTTTGTGAACTTGCTATTTGTGATGTTTAATATTTTGAAAGGTATTTATATCTAAAATGTACACTGTACAACTATACATTTTTGTACACCTGTTAAAAAAAGTTGATATTTTATCTGGCTCTAGTACTAAATTGTAACAACTACAATAGATAACCGTATGTCAAAACTGAGTATTTGACATGATATAGTAGACATAGATCATGTTTCCAATAGCTTTTTAAAATACTTTTAGCAATTTAAAAATACCTATTATTATTTATTAAATTGATTAGGTTTGTTATTATTTTAGTTTGGAACAGTGTGTAAGAACACAAAACACAATGGTTTTTGGTAATTGAATTTGTGCTTTTATTCTCACTTTACATAAAAGATATTTATTTCAAGTTTACAATATATTCTTTTCTTAACACGTACTCTTCGAGTCACAACACTGATTATTTTATTTATTTAATAACAATTTATACAATCAAGACTCACGTTGATTCCACGGGTGTTATATTGAATGGCTGATGGACAAGTAATTACCGTGACCAGCGACGACCGGCCATATAGCTCGCAGAGTGTGGTGACGGCAATGAACCGGAATGTGATGATCGGGCGAGGTGGTGTCCACGTCGTCCTCGATGTGGTACCGGTTATATGCAGTGTTGGGAATTATCTAGACAAAATTATTTCTTAAATTATCTAGATAAAAATAATTAAACCATCTAATTATCTCTCATCTAGATAAGTGTAACGGTTATTTGTGGTAATTTATCTAGATAAATAATATAGGTAATAATAAGAATATTTTTAAATACCGAAATAGCCAATAATTTACGAGAACCGAGTAGTGATTCCAAATTTCAACATTATTATAGTTAAAAAAAGGAAATATTTACTGAAACATTGTCAGTTTTATTTCGTTATTTTATTTTTATTCAAGTTATATTAAAATTCAAATTGTACATTATTTTAGCTAAGAAATGACATTAGGGATTTATAAGCTAATAAATATTACCTAATGAGTAATTACTGATAAAATAATAAATTATATAAATTATAATATAATTTAAAAGCAAATTATCTATTTATTTATCTAGATAAAAAAAATTATGTTATATTATTTTATCTTATCCAGATAAATGTTGAATGAATTATCTGTTATCTCATCCAGATGATTTTTTGGTCATCTTTACCCAACACTGGTTGAATGTGGGTCCTTGTCAGCAATGACGATCATCCGTGAATAGTACAAGTGCGGCTGATTGAATGGCGATGTCGAAATAAACGGTAAACACGTATTCGTCAGAGTAGGTACGACGACGTACGGTCAGCCATGACAAAATATATATTTTGTCACGCGGTCAGCACAGTAACGTAGGTATGCACAGCGGCGGCGTGAGTACGGCGGCGGCGGTAATGAATACGACAGGTTTCAGCGTGTGCCGTGGTGATAGGGCGGGTGTGTACCGCGATGTCGGAGAGCGGTGACAACAATAAATATCGCAGAATCGTAATCAGAAAGTAGGCCGGGTGGGTACCGCGAAATGTTATCGACGGCGGTCAATGCGGGACGCAGCGTCGATGACAATTGACAACAACAACAACAACGACGTTCGGTCACGCGACCTAATGGAAGCTTGGTCAACACGGTAATCTCCGTATCACCATACGACGTGACAAACAGGGCAGTGCCCGAAAGGCAACGACAAGGTGGGTACCGCGGTGCGTTATCGACGGCGGTTGGTGCTCCGACAGCAACGTTCGATGATGTGTCGTAATAGCAGTTGGTTCGGTACGCTACTCACTACTTCCCCCCTCCGTATTAGGGAACCCTCTCCCACTCACTAATGTACAGCTCATTCAATGCCACACAGTAGGTGTGGAGAGGGGTGTACCGATGGGCACGATATCAATGGCGCAGACACCTCAGCGAAGTCCGCTGAATACGAAGTTGGGTTAAAATGTTTAACAAGAAAGAGTTGTAAAAGTGCGAACCGTGCGGTGCGGTCTGAAGATTATTGTGCCGTCGACACGGGCTGGTATATCTCTGCACGTCGTATTGCCTCGCAGTCCGCAGATGTCATTGAATGTGCCGTTTCCATAATGTTAGTTTCTGGCTGTTTTCATTGCGATGTAGTAGTTCTTGTGGGTGATATGGCTATATATGCTATAGCTGCAAAATATAGCGGCGCACCTTATTATGATCCTGGTTAAGCACTCGCAAGTCTCCCGAGCTTGGGAAGTTGAAGTTTTAGGACCCGACGTAGAAAGTGTGCTCCAGCTCGAGCTCTATGTCGCGTCGTCGATCACCGGTTCAGGGTTCTATGCGTCGGTACAATTTCCTCGGTAGTTTGCATCGCGCTAGTAGTTTCCTCTAGATGGCGCGTACAGTATTGAAATAATATAATATTGTGGGATGACCATTATGTGTCGTTACGAGTGATTGGAACGCGCAAACATGTTTTTAACGGAATTTTTCGAGTGATTTTTTTGGGTGACACGTCCTCTTAAAGTCAATATTAGTTTCTATTATGTTCTGACAAATTAAAGGTATATAAATGTGTTTAATCAAAAGTTTCAATTTTTTTGAAAAGTTTCAACAAGTCAGTGAAAACTTGAAATTTTACATCTCTGATGCTAATAAAAAAAATTGTGTCTGTAGATTTATAATATTTTTCATCAGTCTTTGAAACAATATATTACTGATAATTGATGAATTAGGATAGTACATATTATGACATTAATTATAAGCAAACACATAATATCGTCGTGATGGGTACACAGCATCGAGTGTTTTTATTTCGCCCCGACTTTACCCCAATTTCGGTTTTTCTTCAATCTTTTGTTTATTTTCCCGAAGCTTTTTACTGAACTATTGGTAATTTTTTACTTTTGACCCCCAAAGTACCAACAGGATTCTTTTTCCAATCGGAAAATACGATGTCAAAGAAAATCGAAGGATCGTCCTTCAGTTATTGTAAATAATTCGCTCAGCTCAGAATCTAAAATACGATTTAAAGGTGGGCAAGTAGATGTCGCTCTGCTGTACAGTAGGTTACAAATGTGAAATCGGTCACTGTAGTGGATGGTGTTAAATTTGAATTCAATGATATTAGGTAATCATTGTATAAGAAAGACGGTCAGTATCAACCTATGATATTACTAAGTATATTTGATGATAATATATTATTATGATGAAATATCGACATTTTATGGTGTACCTATAGATAATGAAAATATAAACAATACAATTTTCTTCTGACGGTTTGTCAGTCTGGATATTTTATATTGTTATTATATTTTATTACATTTGCCTGTAAGTTGAATTAGTATTATAAATTACAACAAAATAACTAAAATCATTATTTTTATTTTTATTCGTTTCTATATTGATAAACAAAGTGTGAGAAATTAAAATCCCATTTTTAGCTTTTTTTTTTTTTTAATTCGTAGGTGGTTTTTCCTGTGACATTAAATGAATATTATTGAGAAAACCGAAAAATGCCCTCTCTAAAGTACCATCTTGATCCAAATGGAAGAACTTCTTCTGGTAGAAATTTTGTATACAGGATAAAATAAAAATAAAAATAAACACCATTGTAAAACCAATAGATCCCTCTCTCGGGCATGTACCAGTTGCCTTCAAAAAAATGTACCAGTTTCCCCCAACCAAAAGTACCAGTTGCTCTCATATGTAAATATATATATTATTAAAATATATTGGAGGTCTGTTGGCGAGGTTTTTCGACAAAACTCATCATAGGTACCCAATTTCTCCTACTTACCTACCTATATCTGACCGAATCGTCTGTGAAAATTCAATGACGAAAATAAAAAAAACCGACCCGTATAAAAATAAGTAGTACATCATTTTTTTGTCAACGTTAACGACCCGTCAACCGTCGTGTGAACCGCTCCGGGGCGCGAGCGCTCGCGGAATATCGAATTCGGTCGCGGGGCGGGTGGAGGGGACGAGCGAAGAACAATCGGCACCCCGTGCTCGGGCAATCAATCAAAACGGGTAGAGGGAAAAAAAATATATCCGAAATAATGCCCGTTTTGTATTGTTGTCCGACGACGATGCCGCCTCAGCCTTTTTTCGTCGCAGCTCCGTCCATCCAGTGGCGTATTTACGGGGGGGGTAGATGGGGTCCGGACCCCCCCCCCATTGACTCGTGTCTCGTACATGTTAAATGTTGTGCAGTTTTTACATGATTAAAAAACAAATTTTATCATAGGATTTTACGGATTTTATAAAAAAATTTCGAAGCTATAGTTATGTCAACATTTTTAATAAATATCGTGATTATTTTTATCAGTTGGGTACCGAAAATGGTTGAAAAATACCAAATTCATTTTTTAATTCAAATATTTTGAAGTTTTGTAAATTGCCAGTATCTACAACCACTCCAGAGAGATCTTTTTCAACCTTTTTAAGGTTGAAAAGCTATCTAAGTTCAACTTTGAATGAAGTAGGTAAATAATGTAATTAAGGAAATATTTGTAGAAAAGTTGTAACATGTAACTATATATTCGATTCTGAGAGATCTATTGGTTATACAATGGTGTTTATTTTTTTTTCCTGTATACAAAATTTCTTCCAGAAGGAGTGCTTCGATTTCAACATGTATAGACATATAGTAACTTATCTTTTAGAAAATTGGATCAAGATAGTACTTTAAAGTGGTCATTTTTCGATTTTCTCAATAGTTATTTAATGCCACTGTAAAAACCACCAAAAAATTACGAAAAACCGCTAAAAATGGGATTTTAATTTCTAACACTTTGTCTATCACCATAGAAAAAAATAAAAATAAAAGTATTTCATTATTAATTCAACTTACAGGCTATAATAAATAATAACAATATAAAATATTCAGACTGACAAACCGTCTTCGCTCAGAATCGTTTTTCTTATACAATGATATTATGATATTATATCATTGAGTTCAAGTTTAATACAACCCATTATACATTGACCCACTTGTAACCTACTGTACGGCAGCAAAGTGACATCCACTTACCCGCTTTTTTTTTAAATTTGTTTTGTACATATTATTATTTAATAATTAAAAACTCGACAATTTTATATTGTCTAATAAATATGGTATATTTTATTTAATAAAGAGTGAATGGGTGGTGTGGGGGGGTTTCGTCCCCCGTGGCTCTGTGTTCTGAAAAGTGAAAATTATCTGGACCCTCCCCATGACAAATTCCTAAATACGCCACTGCGTCCATCCATCATCGTAGTTTATATGGCGCGTAGCAATAATGCGTATCATCATTACATATCGTATTATACGACGCGCACGCATACGAGACCGGTGGCCGCCGATTCGTACTCGGCCGACAGTTGTCACCGGACGCGTCCGCCGAGAAAAACTTCTTCGTGTCCCGTGCCAGGGGCTCATCAAGGGGGGAGCAAAAGGAGCAGTTGCTCCAGGCGGCAGAGGCGGCCAAAAAATGTAAAGGTGGCACAAAAAAAGTCGATAATAATGTCGTTTATAATATAATAAAAATAAAATATTTAGTAGAATAAATATTAATTATTTTAGTTTACGAATTGACGATGTAAATATTGTCGGAATATCTAAAATCGTAATTTAATCTAATATTAGAACTATTAGGTACTTGTTGGGAAAAAACGCTGTTTATGGACCTTGTTTTAGTAATTTCTAGTACGTACTAACCGTACTATTTTTAATATTATCATTTATCACTAATCAGTATTCACTTCATACAATATTGCCATGTACTATTATATTGCAGTACTGAGACCCTGTAACTTGTAACACAAGTTTTGAACTTGGTGAATTTTTAGAATAATGTTTTTGTTATATATAATATTTAAAATTTTAAACATAGTTTACCTATTTCCTTAGTCGTTAATCATTACAATAATTCATAGCTAAGTATAGAATATACCATATACCATGAGACATGAGTTTGAAATTAATAATGATTTGTAGACATAATGTAGTGTATGTAATAATTTGTATTAATTGTATCCGGGTTCATGTGTTTAAATAAATGGAAAAAGACAATACCTAAGTGCAACAAGAGTAGATGATTAATGAGTAGGTAAGCATATAGTTTTTTTGTAAGTAGATCGTATTATTGTATAATGTTTGTTCGAGCGTAGGGAGAAAATTTTTTTTGGTTATTTACTTGTAAAAAAAGGCGTATACTGAATTAGGGGCGTCATGTTTATGTCTGCTCCCCCATAAATTGTCCCTTAATACGGGCTTGGTCCCGTCGCTTATTTATACATTCCTCCGCCTCACCTTATTATATTATTATTATTGTGTACAGTTCGGACGTTTTTATATCGTCAACCGCCACCCCACGGGTAGTCGCACGCCGCAGCGGTGACACCCGTCAGTCCCCTCTTGTCCCATTTGTATATATAGGTATTGTATAATATTATGCCGGTGTCGAGGGGGGGGGGGGGTTAAAACCCTTTTGTCCGAAAGACTAGTTCGACGGGGTGGGTTTTTTTTCTCGGTTTTATCGCCGGTCCGCAGCTTGCATATTATATATAGCCGTCTCTCGTCCTCTCTCTCTTCCGTCTCTTGTGCTCGCAGCTACGTATGTTATATATTTTACATCCGTGTATACATAACACCTATACCTTATTATGTATACTTAGGCTTGAAAACCGCAACCCTTGCGTTGATAACACTATACGGAGACACGGTCTTGCAGCAGTTACTATACAGTTACCTATATACCTATATCGAGTAGTAGTTTGCGTCATTTAGAGATTTGAATTAGGTATATTCCGTTTCGATTCCGGTTGCTTACGAAATGCCAAATAATTTAACAAAAACTCATCACATGAACAAATCAATTCGCCGCCGGTGAAAAAATTCTCGAGTTTCAAGACTGTTATCGTTATACAATTGTATATATTGCCAGATTGTCTTATTATGTTTTTCACTTTTTATCTTATTCGTTTATATTTTGTTATTTGTTTATTTCGTTTAAATTTTTACACGTATGATCACAATTACCTACCATTTAAAATTATTAACCTTCGCCTGTATAATTTAGTCCACGTAACACGCCAATTCATATTTTTGGAGGGCTACATTGGGAATTTGACGACTTTCGGGAGCCATCAAAATATTAAAATATCTAACCCAGTTCGTTACAAATATTATAAAAGTTAAACGTATTTGCTCCGGCTTGTGGTTGTAGGAAGTGTTCAAAAA